GACTAGGCAGTTTTGTTTCAATGTATTTTAACATGTGTTTATATTTAAATATTTTTTTTTATTCTTATTATTCTTAATCAATTTGTAACGACTAGAATGTTTGTGATATTCTTAATGTTTATATAATGAGAATTTTTCCCTCTTTATGTGTGACTTATCTCATATTGTGAAGCAACCATAAGAGATTGAATAAATATCTATCTATCTATCTATAAAGGAGATGTCTCCTAGTGACCTGTCCATCTTCCCGGAAAGGACAGGATGGACGATGACCTAGGAGAACAACTCTTCGGGAGGATGTACAATGGCCTAAGTGCTGTAGGCCTATGCTCACCCTCCCTACTCTACAGATACAGATTACTGGAGTTTCATCGCAACACCAAACCGTTATTTTGAGATAACACTTCAGTAATATTCACTACTACAATAAAGGTTCCAAACTGCATCACAAGAACAGGAAGTTATTCATTTACCGCCATTGAAATTGTTCTCATAAAATGTCAATAATTTACATATTCAGATATTAACTGTTTTCCTGAAAATAATATTGTATTAATTTTGTTTTGTGGATCTACCTGAATTATTCATTTATCTAATTGAGTTTTGACATGCAGCCGAATTTGTTTCACACCACTTTAATACCGAATATTACATCGTCATGGTGGATATTCTTCATAAGAAATAATATCACAATAAAACTGCTCCTACATACCATAACTGCAAAAGTCTTCTCGACGCAGGTTTCAAAATAAGTTGGCGTCATCAGGAGATGAACTGAATTAATGATTTGAGTAGTGTTTGTGTTTGATTTGATCTAAGCTAGATGTCCCATTTCCATCTTTCAGCAAAATATATTAAATAGTAAAATGAATGTGTGAACTTAGCAAAGTAGTTTCTACTAGATGCTGTTCTTGGCCTGTTTATCATGAGGCAAATATTTTTTTGTGGTACTGAAAAGTTGAACATTATATTCTTACCCCAAGAATATAAGACCACATGATAGATATGATTATAAGAGTCCCAAATCTAACAGTTGAAGAAAGTTGATGAATGTTTTATAAAATATATTTCATGAAAAGGCACAATTACTATTATTAAAAATATTTGTTTACATCACTTTACCTTACCATTCAGAGACGATATGATCAATCGGAGGCAGTCCTCACTGTCATTGGTATTTTTGACAATGAGAGCATTGAGAAGGTCTTTCATGGATGTTACTTGTTTTTTCGTTGCCAGATATCTACCTCTTGAAGTATTGGGATGAGTACATGCATGCCTCAAAGTGTATAAGGGGTCCAGCAGCTACAAAATCAAACCTAGATATTTAACAATATGAAGCACAACTGGCAGAACTTACAAGATCGAAAACTTATAGAAATCTCTTTATGAAAAAACCAGTTTAGTGAGTAATAAATTCATTTTCAAAATCTGCAGTAGATTCAATACTAAAGAATCTACACTGATATACAGAGTATAATGAAAGTTTACAAAAAGCCATAATTTGTCCTGTGCTACAAAATTAAACCAAGATATTTAACAATATGAAGCAAAACTGGCAGAACTCAAAGATCGAAAACTTATAGAAGTCTCTCTATGCAGTAGATTCACTACTGAAGAATCTACACCGATATACGTAGTATAATGAAAGTTTACAAAAAGCCATAATTTGTCCTGTGCTACAAAATTAAACCAAGATATTTAACAATATGAAGCACAACTGGCAGAACTTAAAGATCGAACGAAACCTAACATTTTGTGAGCCTTTTTAGAAACGTAGAAATATGTTTATAGAAAAGCATTTTAGAATCAAATATTATTCCTAAGTCCGTTACAGTTTGTAAGTGACAAGAAGATATTTGATATGAGTGATTTAGATTGTTTTTTCCCATCCAAACAAAATGTGGTAACACTTTTCAAAGTTCAAATACAGATTATTCACCTCACAGTAATCACAAAAAGGTATTGATATCCTGCTGTAAAAACGTGATATCGTTAACATCAGAAATTGAATGATATATTTTTAGATCATCCGCATACATTAGAAAATTGGCGAATTGAAAGCATTGGGATATATCACTGATATAGATATCAAATAGGAGTGGCCTTAGATGTGATCCTTGAGGCACTCCGGAGGTAATTAGGCGATATTCTGATTTGTGTTTACCGACTGTTACCACTTGACAACGATCAGTCACATAAGATTCGAACCCGTTCAACAGATTACCATTTACTCCGACTCTAGCGAGCTTCTGTAGCAAAACTGAGTGATCAATTTTGTTAAAGGCCTTGCTGAAGTTGATTACTACATTTGTATGCATAAAGGACATTATACCAACCTTTTTAAGTGTGCTTCTATCCAGTCTATCTAAGAGCAAAGTTAAATCAAACTTTGACACCTTCGACAGAAAATCACTGCAGATAAGTTCATGCTCTCTTCGGTAAAAATATTTCTCAACTGCCGAAAATTCCAATAAATGCTCTCTGTACGTTTGTTTTGGAATATTTATCTGAAAATTCATAAAAATTCAATGCCATTTATTCGAGTGGAGGGAATAGTGGAAATTACCTGATCTAAAACGTCTTTCTTAGACGTCCTCCACAGCACCTTGGACAAAAATTCAAGCATCGGTTTATCGTTACCTTTCACATAGGGCTCATACAATATTTTGTTCCAAGTAGTGAGGTCGTTGAATGGAGTAATTTGTATATAATCGATGAGTCCATACAGATCTAGGAAGAACAGTTCAAAAATAATAATCAGCATTCACCAACCCAATATTGTTTCATAAAAATTGCGTCACTGAAATCTTTGATAACAAATGACGAGTTGATTTGACACGGAATATACTGAAGCATTTGATAAATCCAATCACTCCCTGTCGATAGCTGATTTCCACGTTTATGGTATTACAGGAAATCTTTCAAACTGAAATCAAAGCTATTTGTCAAACCGTACTCAAATTGTCAAAATCGATAATTTAGTTTCCAAAACAGTTGGTAACATCTGCAACTCTTCAAGTAACTCACTCCGAACCCTTTCTTTTCAATTCATTCATAATTGACATTAAATCGTCCTTTACCAATGCTTCTTTCCTATCGTTACTTTCCTATCTTTTGTTAAATATAAGAAAATACTATCAGAATACTTTGTGTTAGAATGCATCAACCATAAGTTTCACTTATCATATCGATGATAAACCTATCCAAAAAATAGATGAAATACGTGATGAAATTTATATTTCACCACTTATTACAGGAATGAAGACTTTCAAGGCTGGCATCAATGTTTTGGTTGGTTTCAGGGTTTTCACTATATGATTTTCCTTAGTTATAATCTACAAACATGTCAACTGCAACTGCGGAAGATGACTGAAGATGACTGCCGCAGTCTGAATTGAAACGTTTGGAGATTATAATCAAAGATCACGGCAAAACCCGGAAACCAATCACCCCTTATTATATCTTGGTCATGAAAAATGCTGAGTTTTTTAATATGCTTATCATTGGGGTTTTCCATTTGTACAATGAAACTTCTGTACTGCTGTCTTGAAAGATCTCTTCTCAACTATAAACCAGCTAGTTCTTCACAATTTTCATTTCAGGTAATATGAATTGTTGTTGAAAGTTTGGGTTAGTTTTTTTGTGAAACGAACAAAACAATCTGTCTCACTATATATACCTTTCATATTCTGTTGAACAGAATACCAAGAAGATTTGCAAATGGATTCAGGAATAGTCATATTTGGAACAACATCACAATCTTCTTAAAATCAATTCATTCAATTGGTAGATATATATTTTTCAGTTTTAATTCAATAGTCATTCTATAAAAATGCAAATTAAATTTTTTTAAATGATCTGAAAAACCTACCTGATATATTTTTAGATATAGGTGTTCCGGTGACAGCCCATCTATGGACGGCATTAATTTTTCCTGCCATTTCAGACACCATGCGACCTGGAGTGTCTACGGTTTGAGCTTCATCCAAACAAAGTCGCCACCATTTAATTCTGGTAAGTGGACTCCCCTGAGGGGAATATTTTCTTTCCCTTCTCAAATTAATTGCCTGAAATTTCGAACAAGAATATTATGAACATATTCAAAAAGTAATTAGATATGAAAAAAGATTTTCAGTTTTCTACTTCTCCATTATTATACAAAAAATGTGGGAAACATCCGAAAATCACTCACATTTTTTTGTATAATTATGGAGAAGTGGTAAGAAGAAAAGCTTTTTGATATAAACTAATCTCCCCTAAAAATATTTCATTTTCAATTCGAAAGTAATCAGATATTTTTACTAAATAAATCAATTCAACTAGNTCGTCCAAAAATGTGCGATGTCCTCATTGTTTACCAGTGGTTTTTTTTTTGTTGATGACAGACGAAAAAGATCCGAAATCACGGCAGTTTCTTAGAAGTCTTCTCAGAATATTTTTATTGGGTCTTTGTAGATTTGGAAATATTTCTGCATAAACACGACAAGTTCTGTCCATTATCTTATTACATTCACCATGAATGATTATTAAATTCAGGAAATCTTCATTAGAATACCCCAAACAAGAGATTTTGCACACAAATAGTAAACTACGAAATACACGCCAATTATATCGCATCAAATTTTCATATTTGTTGTAACTTAATTTGTTTTCAAAGCTTTCTTGGTTTGGTATTGCTTCGAATGATTTACATTTCAAATATTTCCCAAAATCGGATATATCTTACCAGGGATGTATTTTAGGTATAGGACATTCTTCATGAATTTGATATCTATTTTTCGTAATATCCAAAAATAATAGAATAGTGTATGGTTTCCATTTTAAAAAATCGTGGTTCATCAGTTTTCTCGATGTTGTTTTAGGTGGAAATTTCGACCACTCTGTAATGAATTATTTTCGAAAGACCCTGTATACAGTTACAGTATTCATTCTAAAAGTGGATGAATATAATTTTTTGTGAATAATAGTATAAGTATAAAGAATATGAATGAAATTCTTAATTGATTTGGCACAGCACCGTGGCAAAAAATCCTGTCATAGCGATATTTCAAATAACTTATTATAGTGATATCAAATCAAATCCATTATATTTTTTTCAAACAACATTGTATAAATATTACTGGAGTTTTTTCCCAACACCAAATCGTTATTTTCAACACCTCGACACGTGTTTCAACCACCAAGTGTTCATCGTCAAGAGGAAGATAAAACTGTTTTATCTTCCGTGGAAGAGTGTAAATCTCCATTGTATAGATAAGAATGCTTATTTTTGAAAACGTATACACACATACAGGCTCGTACAGATGAGAATGTTGTAATTTTTGAAGAGATTACGACATGAGTAGTCACTTTTGACTCCAGCTATACATCTTATGATTTTTTTTTTGAGAAGATATTGTAAATCTCTGTGACTTAGATGTGACACTGCATGACACCATGATAGATTTTTCCAAAAAAATACATTATTATTTTCTTTTACTTTTATGGAATATAATTTATATTTGATAATCAAAATGCGAATTCTTTGAATCTACTTACTTTTACTCCCTTTGGAAATAATTATAAGAAGTTTTTCCAAGATAAAAAAATAGACCTATCAAGGCAAATGAATTTGCCAAGTATGCATTTTTAGGAGGCGAATTTAAATTCTGCTTGCATATATAGTAGAAAATAGA